AAAAAAAAATAGTATTGGCAATTATTCAGGCCCCTAGTTTAATTTATTTCGGGATTTACGGTTTACGGCTTGAGAATTTGGAAGGGTTTTGGTTCAGGGTTCGGGGTTTGAAGAATTACCGGGTTCTGTCACAGATTGCATGGAGCCCTGAAGCCTAATCCCAAAACCCTGACCTAACCCCTTAACCCTAGGCAAGTTGCATCATCCAGCACGAGAAAGCGATTTTCTGCCATGCCTCAGCCCAAAACCCTATTCTAATTATTACAGCCCCTAACCCCTAAACCCTTATAGTAGCCCTTATAGAACCCTTTAAGGAACCCTTTACAGGAACCCCAACAAGCGGAGGGAAGCCAAGGTTAAACTTGCAGAATTCTACTAAACTAGATCAACCCAAAAAAGTTTAAAGGTTGGGTATTGGGGAGCCAAGGTGAAAAACCCTAGACCCTAAACCCTAAATCCCAAACCCTAAGCCCGTAACACTAAAACCCTAAAACCCTAAACCCTAAACCCTTAACACTAAAACCCTAAAACCCTAAACCCTAAAGCCGAACTAAGGCAAAGAAAGTGGGAAAGACCACGACTCGGCGATGTCGGACTTCGAAGTTCAGATGGCATGCGGAGTGTAGAAGGGGTTAGGGCTTAGGGTTTATAGGCTTTATAGGGTTTAGGAGTGTAGAAGCCTTAATAATTAGAATGGGGTTTGGGGGTCCCTTTAAAGGGTTCCTTAAAGGGTTCTATAAGGGCTACTATAATAAAGGGTTCCTTAAAGGGTTCTATAAGGGCTACTATAAGGGTGGAGGATTCAGGGGCCTTAATAATTAGAAGAGCGTTTTAGGGGGTTCCGAAGGGTTCTTTTAGGGTTTAGGGTTTAGGGTTTAAGGTTTAGGGTTCCTTATTATATAGTAATTGTAGAATACATCCCCAAACCTTATTCTGATTATTAAGGCCCCTACATTTGGCTTGGGGTTTAGAGTTTTTGTCAAAGGTTAAGGGTTTAGGGTTTAGGGGCCTTAATAATTAGAAGAGGGCTTTCGGGGTATATGATACTATAACTACAATAGGAACCCCCAAAGTAGTATTGGTAATATTTGAGGCTTCTATAGTAGGTGGTTTAGGGGTTAACGGTTTGAGGTTAAGGGTTTAGGGTTTATAGGGTTTGGGGCTTAGGGGTTGAAGGGTTTAGAAATTTAGGGGGGTGAGGGTTTAGGGTTTAGGGGGTTAAGGGTATAGGAGCTAATTGTTTGAGGTTGAGGGTTTAGGGTTTAGGGGGTACAGGGGTTTAGGGTCTGGGGTTTTTTAACCCTATACCCTCAAGCCTTTATGTCTACCTGTTCTCTCCTGTCTGGGTCTTGGCTAACCAATGTTGTGGGCTTGGGCTCTGAGAATAAAACTGGGGGCAGAGGTAACCCAAAAAGTACCTACATGGGTACTTCTCTAAGTTAGGGTCCCTGTTTAGGTCCCCATATTAGTACGGCGCCCTTTGAAAGAGGACCCCAAAAGTGACCGCAGGCCCTTGTCTGGAGAACTACCGACATTTGGAGAGTATAAGTACTTCATGAACTCCTGTCAAGGCAGGTGCGCCCAGTGGGAACCCGGATTTCGCTCAACTTTCGTTACTTAAGGTTGAGGATTTAGTGTTTGGGGTTTAGGGCCTTGGGCTTCAGGAAACAATTACGGACTTACGCCCGCAAGCCCGCAACAAGTTGTGGTTGGATCGTCTTTGAAAGAGGCAGCCTTCTGCCGGGTTATGGGGGGGCTGACCCATAATAAATGGGCCTTGATCGTTTGAATAGGGTTCAGGCCTTGCTTCTTAGCATAATATCTATAGTATAATACAATCATAACCAGAAAGCCTTACGTAGGTTGAAGGAATGATATTACTGAACATTTAGGTGCCAAAAAATATTTGCAGACGAGCTTTTCCAGGCCAAGGCACTCACATTCTTGGCCACCTGGCACGCCGTCAGTGGATGGTCGCCCGTGATCATGATGACCCTGTGGTAACCTTAGGCGATCTCAAAGGGTCCAAGTACTCAAATAGTAGGGTTTTAGGATCCATACTCTGAGTGGTATTTGACCCTAAACCCTAAACCCTTGAAGCCCTACTATTTGAGGTCTTGGATTCTTGCGGAATGTGTTGAGGTCATGTACTGCGAAACAAGACAATGGCCTCACTGTCGCTGACTCGTCATGCAAAACATAAACCCTGAACCCTAAACCCTGGTTAGGGACCCTAAACCCTGAACCCTAAACCAGGGTTTATAGGGTTTAGGGTCATCCTTGCTAAAACTCCGAAAACCCAAGTAGAGGTAGCAGCATCGCCACACGCTAGGCCCCCTTTCGGCTCCTAGAGGAGGTACTACAGGGGCCTCAATAATTATCTGCATTATTTTGGGGGTTCCTTATACCAATTATACAAAAAAGGACCCCCAAACCCTATTCTAATTCTAACTAGTAGGGCCTTATACTATAAAGGACCCCAAAATCCTATTCTAATGATTCAGGCCCCTGCAGTAAGCCATCAATGGCATGTGTCAGGACAAAGATGTGGGAACCCCAAACCCTAGACCCTAGACCCTAAACCGTCTCATGACTCTTGGGTCGAGGTAAAGGTTACCCTAAACCCTAAACCCTAAACCCTAAACCCTAAACCCTAAACCCTAAACCGTGAAACACTCCCATATGGCAATCGGGCTTAGGGCTTAGGATTTAGGGCTTTTGTTGTTTAACGCCTTTTTCCGTCCGCCGAGTGGATTTAGGGTTTAGGGTTTAGGATTTAGGGCTTTTGTTGTTTAACGCCTTTTTCCGTCCGCCGAGTGGATTTAGGGTTTAGGATTTAAGGTTTAGGGTTTAGGAGTTAGGGTTTCGGGTTAAGGGTTCAGGGCATACGGCAGCCCAGCTGCTTTGGCGTAGTTGCCGAATCGTGTTCGAGGTGTTCGGCTTCACCTGGCAAGGTCTGTAGCATTGGGGCTTCACCCGATCCTTCAAGCCTCAACCCTGAAACCATCCCCTGAAACCCTTGAACCACCCAATTCCCAGCATCACGGAAGCCCCTAGAACTAAAGGCCTGGCAGTTCCCCAAACCTGGAACTGAGACGGCCAGAAGTGTGTTTGGGGGTTATGGTTCTGGAGGATGCCTATACTCTCTAATAAACTTAGGGTGTAGGGATTTAGGCTTAGGCTTGCTACCTGTAGCCCTTGGTGCAGTTTCATCGACTGGTTTAAGAAAGTCTGCCCAAGCCCTTCACAAGGCACTTAATTCCGGAGAATACCCTGACCCTTTCAACACCCTCGTGACCCTTTAGACACAACCTTCATAAGCCCCTGTTGAACATGGATTGAAAGCCCGTGTAACCCACGTATAAAAACCATGGAAACCCTATTATGATTATGAAGGCCCCTGTATGTTAGAACCCTCTGTATTCCCTAACATCTCAACCTTATAGTGCACCCCAAAAACCCTTTAAAGGAACCCTACTATAGAAAACCCTATAGTACCCTTCAAAGGGACCCTATTACAGTACCCTAAGTAGCCTTTAAAGGACCCTACTCTGATAGATATGGGAGTTAGGATAAAGGGGACGCTTGGGGATATAGACCCTCTCAAATAAGGTCCCTTTCAAGAGAGCCAGAATTGGTGTTCAGAAGGGTCCCCTTGAAGCGTTTTCCTAAGTACTACCTATAATCGACCCTAAACCCTAGACCCTCAACACCTAAACCCCTAAACCCTAAACCCCTAAACCCTAAACTCATAATACTACCTACGGAAAGCGGTTTCCTAAATACCTACCTACCAAAACCTACCAAAACCAATTTTTTTGTAGGGTCCCTATAAATTCCATATTAGGCGTTTATAGTAGGAACCTACAAAAATACCTCGGTTTTGGTGGGTTAAGGTGGCAAGACAAATTCCTAAACCCTAAACCCTAAACCCTAAACCCTAAACCCAAACGCCAAGCCAGGCTCGCCGAGTTCCGGAGGACTAAGAGCCCACAAAATTGGAGCCCACTCTCCACGTCGTCTCGTTCCTCTGCTTCTGGAGCGTTTTAGGGTTTAGGGTTTAGGGTTTAGGGTTTTAGGGCTTCTTGAGCGTTTTAGGGTTTAGGGTTGAGG